GATCTTTGTTATTCATTCTATTCTATTCTATTCTATTCTATTCTATTCTATTCTATTCTATTCTATTCTATTCTATTCTATTCTTAATTTAGCTAGACTTCTGAGAACTTTTCCTTCTCTTTTTAGTATAGTCATAATGTAATATATATCATAAAATAATAAATCAAGCCTTCTGAACACAGAATCAACATTCTCATCTCTCTCTTCATCCTGCAACCCTTGTGACCACTGTCACACTCCTCTGCAAAGAGGGCAGGAGGAATGTGGGGCTCCATCCATGGGGAAAGGCAGCCCCATGGCTCACTGAGCACCTGGAAGGGGCTGGAGGGAGGAACTCCTTGGGGAGGGGTCCAAGTTGTTCATAGAATCATGGAAAAACCGGAGATAGAAGAGACCCATGAGGATCATAGATTCCAACTCCTGGCTCTGCACAGGACACCCCAAAACCCCCCCCGGTCCCAAAATCCCAATCCTGAGCACGCTGTCCAAAGGCTCCTGGAGCTCTGGCAGCCTCGGGGCCGTGGCCATTCCTGGGGAGCCTGGGCAGTGCCAGCCCCTCTGGGTGAGGAACCTTCCCCAATACCCAACCTGGCCCTCCTTGGCACAGCTCCAGCTGCTCCCTGGGTCCTGTCCCTGGTCCCAGTTCATGGTGGTGCTGGTGACTGATTTTGTGCTGTATCCAAACATTTAGGATTGTGGCTGATAGCCCTTTTGGGTTGCAGCAAACAGGACAAGCGTGGGCAACTCTGAGCTCCAAGAGCTGTTTTCCAGGGATGGATTTCATGGCCAGCAGCTTCCAGGAGTGGCCAAGAGCCGAGCCAAGAACCTCCCAGCCTCAGCAGGGTGGGTAGAGCCAGAGGAGAGGCGAAATGCAGCTCCTAGAGGGATTCAGGAGCTTGTGGGAAGCCTTGGGAACACAGAGCTGGATCTGTCCCCCTGGGCAAGCTGAGACATTGCCCTGGGCACCCTGAGGGGCCTTGGGGCTCATGGAGAATGATGATTTAGGAAGATTTCCTCCCTATGGGGGTGGAGAGGCCTTGGAATGGATTTCCCAAAGCAGCTGTGGCTGTTCATGGATCCCTGGCAGTGCCCAAGGCCAGGCTGGACAGGACTTGGAGCAGCTTGGGACAGTGGGAGGTGTCCCTGCCATGGCAGGGCTGGCACTGGATGAGCTTTAAGGACCCTTCCAACCTGAACCATTCTATGATTCCACAATCCCATGATTCTGTTCCTCCTGGTCCCTGTGATAATTCATATTTGAGTTTTGCTGTGTTGCAGTGGGAGGAATGCCTGGATGAGTTCCTGGATGAGGAATGCCTGGATGAGGTGTTCCTGGATGAGGAGCTCCTGGATGAGGAATGCCTGGATGAGGAGTTCCTGGATGAGGAGCTCCTGGATGAGGAATGCCTGGATGAGGAGTTCCTGGATGAGGAGCTCCTGGAAGCCTTGGAGCTGTTTGGGTGAGCCCCGACCTGGCCACCTCTGGGAGAGCCCTGATTCCTGTCCCGGTGCAGGGCTGGAAAAGTGGGGAGGAAAATGCATTCTCCATGTGCAAATCCATGTGAAGTTGCAGCCTGAACAATCCACTGGCCTCTGCCAAAGGCTCTGGAGCAGGGAGAGGCCATGGCAGGGAATTGGGGTCCTTGGAAAAGCCACTTCACGGAATGTGAGGGTTTTGGCCCATTCCATGTGTGTGGGATAAAGCTGGATGGAGGCTGTGAGTGGGATGGTGGAAGGTGTCCCTGTCCAAGCCAGGGGATTGCACTGGATAAACCCTGGGGACCTTTCCAACCCAAACCATTCCCTGATTCCCATCAATGGGGGAATCCCATCGGGCTCACAGGAATCCCTGCAGTTCTTGGGCAGGGGCAGAAAGTGAAAGCAGTCAGCGTTTGAGGGACATCCAATGGGACACAGGGCCCAAATGCTGCCGGGAGGGAGGCACCAACCTTTGGAACAGACCATCCCTGTGGATCAGCAGCTCTTGCTGGAAAGGGCACTCCCTGTCACCGGGCTCTGCGCTGGAGCTGCGTCATTCCATTGATTTTATGGCCCAGTGACACAGGAAATGGGCCTGGAATCCATAAAATCCTGATAAACCTGATGAACCTCATCCTGATAATCCTCCAGTTGTGCCATATCCTGAGCTGGATCCCCAGGATCATCGAGGCCAAATCCTGCCTGGTGACATCCAACACCTGCCTTTGGGATGCAGGAGAACAAGTTCCCTCTGACCAGTCTCTGCTCACAGGAATTATGATCAGCTGGAAATTTTGGTTAATGAGGCTGCTTTGATCCTGGAAGGGGATCTGGGTTCGCAGTGTGGGGAGATCTTCAGGATCTTGGGAAAGGTGCTGTTGTGCTCCCATTGATTTTGGGTGGGCTTAGCAGGAATAGGAGCTTGGCAGTGCCACTGGACGTCAGGAGAATTTCTTGGGACGTCATGAGGAATTTTTCCAGGGAGAGGCTGGTCAGGCACTCCTGTGGTGCAGTTCCCATCCCTCAAGGTACCCAAAGAACGTGGCACTCAGGGCTCTGGTGGGGATTGGTCACAGCTTGGACTCCGTGATCTCGGAGGGCATTTCCAGCCTCAGTGATCCTGGGATTCTGACAGCCCCATCCTGGAGGTTTCCATCCCCCAGAGCCTCCGGCTCCCTGAGCCTGGAGATTGATCCCAATATCCCAAATCCATCTCCAGCCACGAGCCCACGCAGGCACTGGGAGGTGCTGGAGCAATAGATGTGGGATCCGGGGCCAGAGCCCTTTGGATCAGGAACCACCAGCAGAGCCCATGCAACAGAACCTATGGATGCTCCTGCTCCCCAGATTTTTCAATCCAAACACAGAAATCCAGGCAGGCAGCAGGAGGGATCCCCTGGGATAACACAGGAGGTGAACCCACCAGAACACACTCTCAACACATTATGTCACTCACCTGCAAAGGTTTCCCTCTTCCATTACAATATTTGAGTTTGGTTTTTTGATTTTTTGGGGGGGGGGGGGGGGGGGGGTTGGGGTTTTTTTTGGATTTTTTTGGCACTTTCCAGCTGGAATTGCAGCCTGGCTTGTTTTCCCAAGGGTTCATGGAGGGGTTGGTTGTTGTGGGGGTTTTGCTGCTCTAGGAGTGTCAGAGCCAGCCCTAGGTGTGCAGGGCCAGGGTGAATGTGACTCCCAGCATGACAGGCAGGGAAATCGTTTCCCCAAAAAGGCAAAAGTGAGCTCGGTGTCGCCAAACCGCAGTCCCTGGGGTCACTCACCGGGGCTGCAGGAATTTACCGGTCGGAGCAGTTGTGGAACAGCCCCGGGTTGCCATGGAACAGCAACACAACAAACCCTGGGACACCTCTGGTGGCCACGTGGCTTCAACCTGGCTCAGACGGGGAATATCGACCTGGCAGGGGGGGAGGGAGCAAACCTGGGCACAGCAAGCAGGGATGAGGCTCCTGCTCCCACCTGGACTGCTCGTGGTGCAGGGAGCGAGGGTGGGAGCTGGGTTGAAGATGGGCTCACCCTCACCCAAACCCAGGGTGAAGTCCAGCTCCCCGGTGCCAAACTGGGATTCCTGGAGGCCGCTGGGAGCAGCTCTGCCTTTGTGGCCAAAGGTTGGGATTCACCTGCCTGGGTTGCTCCTCCTGTGCCGCTCCTGTTGTGTAGAAGTCCCTGTGTGGTGATCCAGGCAGGAATCCAGCCTGCTAACAGCCAGAGCCGGGTGGGAATTGCTGCCTGCCTGTCAGTCCCACACTCAGCTTCCAGCCCTGCCCTCTCAGGACATGCCAGCACTGTCCCAGCCTGGCTGTGTCAGGCTGGCACTGCCCTGCTCCCAGCTGTGCATGGATGGGTGCACGGAGGGATCCCTGTCCTGTGCTCCAGCCCCAGGGGAGCTGCAGGGCATGTCTGTTACACTCCACTTCGTTCACACACAATGGATTTTTTTTTTATAATCCCAGAATCAATTAGGCTGGAAAAGACCTCTGAGATCATCGAGTCCAACCTGTGATGGTGGGAGCCCAGCCAGGTGCAGGGCTGGCAGGAATCCTGCAGGAATCCTGCCCCATCTCTCTCTTCCTGGATCGCATTCCCCCTTTTCTCTCTTTAAAAAGAGACTTTCCCTGCAGCAGCCAGGCTTCTCCTCTGCCCCCAGAGCAGGACGGGTGGATTTTGAGCAGGCTGAGTTTGCAACCAGCCTTATCTCCCTGTCCTGGGGACAGAAAAGCTGAAGGGTGACACTTTCAGGCCAGACTTTGAAATCTCCTGGGGAATTTATGACCTGATAGTGAAGGGTTGAGGCCCTCTGGGACTATTTGAAAATGGTGAAAACCCTGAAACCCATTTTTTTTTCCTCTACTTTTTCTTCATAGAACTCCAAAAATTCAAGCAGGGACCCAGAATGTTCAGCCAGCATTTTAATCCTGTCTCCTTTTGAGTGTGGACTAAACGCTGGGTGGGATGCAACCCTCCTAACCCACCTCTGTTTTAAGTATTTATTTGAGGGATTAGCAGGAGAGGGAAGGGCAAACACGTCCCCCTGGGCAGGCAGGCTCTGGGTACTGCTGGCAGTGCCCTGGTTTATATTAAACAGCCAGGACCTGGCGCAGGGGCCGCTTTATCAGCTTTGCACCGTGCCCAGGGGAGAACCCGCCTGCAGCGCTTCCAAATCCTCCCCAATGTGTATTCCCTGTGTCCCCCTCGGGGACAGGATCGGGGAGCAGGGCTGGGCTCGGCGCACACTCAGGTGCCGCAGGAGCGCAGCGGGGACAGCGCCAGGTGTGTCCTGTCCCTTCCCCGCGGCCCTTCCCTGCTGCCGGAGGGTGGGAATGCAGCCAGGCACACCCAGCTCCGAGCCGTAAAACGATCCCCGCGGTGCCCTTGGGCCAAGCCCAGCTTTTCTAACGGATAAAAGGGGAAGGCAGCGGCAGCGCTCTCACTCCGCTGGCCTCCAGCACAGCCTCTCGAGCTTCGCAGGATCAAAGAGGCACCCCCGCCCCGTCGCTCGCAGCAGCATGTCCCGCTCGGTGACCTTCAGCTCCCGCTCGGCCGCCGGGCCCGCGCTCAGCCAGGTGCGGGTCAGCTCCGTGTCCTCCGGCCGCAGCTCCGGGCTCGGCCGCGCCGGCGGCTTCGGCAGCGCCAGCCTCTACAGCCTGGGCTCGGCCGGCAAGAGGGTCAGCCTGGCCGGGGGCAGCTCCTTCAGCGTCCGCTCGGGCTACGGCTATGGGGGAGCCGCCTTGGGCAGCCTCAGCCCCGGCGGCATCCAGGAGGTCACCGTCAACCAGAGCCTCCTGACGCCCCTCAACCTGGAGATCGACCCCACTATCCAGAGGGTCCGCAAGGAGGAGAAGGAGCAGATCAAGACCCTCAACAACAAATTCGCCTCCTTCATTGACAAGGTGAGGGCTTGGGCCGGCTCAGAGCTCTGGGGGTGCTGAACGGTTGGTGGGACCCAGGATTGGTTTACTCACAAATGGGGTGAGGATCAGTCCTGGAGAACGTGGTGGGATTTGCCCACTGCAAACAAATAATTCTTAGTATTCGATGTAAAGTCCTGCTGGCATTGCCAACAGAACAGGTTGCCTTGCTCGGGCTGCCTTTGCAGCCCTGATTTACCTGGGATTGCCCAAATGGGGGTGCAGGCTTTGCACCCCCACCCCAGCACCAAATCTGGGGAGGGAGAGGCTCCTGGAGGGAGCTGTCCCAGGAGAGCAGATGGAACCAGACCCTGCCCTGGGTATTCATGCTGCCCTGCACAGCTTGGCTCTCTTGCACTAACTAACCTTGTGTAAATCCCGCTCTGGAATTCCCGAAATGTGAGGAATCCAGCCCTGGAGTTGGAGCAGTTGGAGGGTTTGATGTCTGGGGCAGGTTTCTGTCAAGTGTCAGCCCAGCAGAATCTGCTTTTCTTTAATTCCTCAAAGTCACAAACCAGGTCCCAGAGCAGCCAAGCTCCTCAGCGTGGTCTCCATGACCCTCCTCTGGTGCTTCCATGAACACCCAAATTCCTGGGCGCCACCCAAATTCCCACCTGCAGCCCAGCCCTTCCATGCCCTGCAGTGTCAGCTCCCCTCTCTCCCACCATCCCAAGTGACCCCTGTGCTCCCTCCCAGGTGCGGTTCCTGGAGCAGCAGAACAAGATGCTGGAGACCAAGTGGAGCCTGCTGCAGGAGCAGAAGACGACACGCAGCAACATCGCTCCCATGTTCGAGACCTACATCAGCAACCTGCGGCGGCAGCTGGACGGGCTCCTGGCCGACAAGGGGCGCCTCGAGGGAGAGCTCAAGAACATGCAGGACCTCGTGGAGGACTTCAAGACCAAGTAAAGTATCAGTGTCCCCCTGATAACGGGGTGGTGGAGCTGCTGGCTGGGCCAGTGGGATGCAACTCTCCTAACCCACCTCGGTTTTAAGGATTTATTTGAGGGATTAGCAGGAGAGGGAAGGGCATGGATGTCCCCGGCTCCCCTGCCAGGGGGGAGATGTTTTCTGGCCAAGAATGAGGTGTTCAGCTGGGCACAGATGTCCCCAGCTCTCCTGACAAGGAGAAGATATTTTCTGGCCTGGAATGAGGTGTTCAGTCCAGGTGTTTAGCTGGGCTCAATGTCCCCCAGCTCTCCTGCTAGGGAGGAGATGTTTTCTGGCCTGCAATGAGGTGTTTAGTCCAGGAAAGCTGCCTGGATTCTTCTTGCTCATTTCTGGCACCTTGTTCCTACATGGGCTAGTGCCTCCATCCTCTTGGCTTTGCTTTGGGGCCTCCTCAGGCTTGGACGTGGCATTCTGGGGCCTCCTTGGGGCTGAAGGTGACATTCTGGGGCCTCCCTGGGTTGGAGGTGGTGCTTTGGGGCCTCCTCAGGGTCGGAAGTGGCTCTTTGGGGTGGCTGGAGCCCCGAGAGTTCCACAGGAGCTCCGGCCTGATTCACTGGGCAGGGAATAGAGCAGCTGCCCTGCAGTTCTTCAGTGACTTTTCAGTGTCACCTGGGAGGAGCCCCAGAAGAAAGGTGGCCTTTGTCCCAGCCCGGCCCAGCCCAGCCGGGAAATGCCTCTGAAAAGGGAAGAAAAGGACGGAGCTGGCAAACTGGATCAGGCAGGAACTGCAAACAAACAGAGCTGATAATCCCCAGGGTGTGTTTAGGGAGGGTCAATACCCAGAGATTCCCAAAGAGCTGCCTGGGAATGATGCTGCTGCCCCCAGCCCTGCCTGGTTATTCCATCCACAGCTGGCCTTGGAATCTCTGCAAGGAGCTGCTTTGCAGCCAGAGGGATTAAACCCCAAAGTTTAGCTACATTTCCCATGTATTTAGTCCTAATCTCATGGATTTATTCCTTTAGGCTACAGACCCATGGAAAGCCAAACCCTCTGTGTGCTAATGGAAGGGAAGCAGGAATTAGGAGCTGAAGGAGTGAGGATTCAGTAACTGGAATGCAGCACCTGCTGCTCCCCGTTTGTATGGAGAAAATCTCAGTTATAGATGGAAAACCTAAACCATGATGTGCTCTGGGGGTGCCTGTGGCCTTTTTTCCATAGGTTTGGTTTCCACAGGAATTCCCAGGTGATATTTAGGGGAGGAGAGGCTCCAGGGATGACACCAGCCCCTAACTCAGGGATTGCAGTGGGAGAGGAGCCAGCTGGGGCCGTGCTGCCCACAGGGCTCAGTTCCAAGGAGTGTCCTGGCCTTTCAGAGGGATGTTGGGACAGTATTGGACGATTTAGGGAGAAATTCCTCTGTGTGGGGCTGGGCAGGCCCTGGAATGGATTTCTCAGAGAAGCTCTGGCTGCCCCTGGATCCCTGGCAGTGCCCAGGGCCAGGCTGGACAGGGCTTGGAGCAGCCTGGGATAGCAGAAGGTGTCCCTGTCGTGGCAGGGGTGGGAATGAGATGGGCTTTATGGTCTCTACAAACCCAAATCATTCCAAGATTCCATGCTTTACCAGCTCATTGACCAGCTTGGTGGAGCTGCCCCAAGGAGAGGAGGAATTTGGTGATCCATTCTGGAGGAATTCACTGTTTTTATACCTCTCTCTGCTGATCCCTGGTGAGCAGAGGTGGTGCCTCTGCGTCACTTCCCAGGATTTATTCCTCTGGAGTTGCGCTGGCAGCTCAGTGACCTCCAGAGGGGCAACGTCCATTGATCCTGGTGTGGATGGGCAGCATTCCAGGTCGGAGCAGGAGGGGGAGGCTGGGCAGGTGAAGCAGCTCCTGCTTTGGAAGGCAAATTCCAGCTCTGGCCATGCAGGGCCCATGTAAATAAAGAGCCTTAACCTGGCAACAGTTCCCAAACAGCCAAAGTGCTTCCTGCTCTGTTCCTTGGATGGCTTTCAGGATTCCCAGATGCCCAGAGCAGGTTGGGGCTGGATGTTTGGGCAGGTTGGGAGTGCACAGACAGGTCCAGGTGGGCTCCAAGATCCAGGTTTGCAAATCAGTGGTGGTCCTGTACAATCTGTGGAGAGGAATTTTTATCTGCTGGAGACCTTTAGGAGAACCCCTGGAGATTTCCAGGTGAGCCCCTCATCTGAGGGTGAACACCTAAAGAACAGCAGTCACCAAGACTGGAATTTAGTGAGGCTTTGGAGGAGAATGAGGGTAATTAATTACCTTTGGCTCTTCCCAGAACAGTGCCACGTGTTCAACACCTGCAAAGTGTTGCCAGCAGTCTGGAGTAGGGAAGTGCAGAGTGGAAGCAGCTCCAGCAAGTGCTGGGATCAGCCCAGAGGAGTTTGTGGGATCTGTTTGTGTCTCTCCCTGAAGGGTTGGTGACAAAGTGGGGGCACAGCCTGGGTCCTCCCCAGAGGAGGAGCAGCAATCTTGTGGAGCACAGGGAATTTTAAGGATTCTAGGGGAGCAGGGAGGGGACGGTTTCAGGTGGTGGTGATGGAGCAGCTCATCCGGAGCAGATACCACTGGTGCACCAGCCCTGGGGAGGTGCTGGGCTGGCTCCCAAGAAATGGAGGGATAGAAAAGAGAGCTGGGACAACCTTCCACTGGGATGTTTTTCCTTTTATCCAGGCTCTGATTTCACAGAAATCTCTTTATTTTTTTGGCAGATATGAAGATGAGATCAACAAGCGCACGGCGGCCGAGAACGAGTTTGTGGTGCTCAAGAAGGTGAATATCATTGTGGGTCAGAGAACCCTCACATGGGTTGGGTGGGAAGGGACCTTACAGTCCATCCCATTCCCACCCCTGCCATGGGCAGGGACACCTTCCATGGGCCCAGAGTGCTCCAAGCCCCGTCCAGCTCTGGACACTTCCAGGCGTGGGGCAGGCACGGCTCTTCCCTGGGACTGATCAGCAGTGTGGGCAGCCCTTCCCCATGTTTGCCCCTACTCACAGTTTACTCTCTGCCCCACTCACAGTGTACTCCAGCTCTGATGAAGCTCTGAGGGGCAGAATTCCAGCCAAAGGCAGCTCAGGGGAGGCCTTGATGTCTCCACACATGCAGGGAAGAGCTGCTGGGTCCCAGGGGCATTGGAGATGATTCCTTTGGGATCTTTCCTGAGGTCTCCGTGTCCAACCTGACACTGAACTTGCAGACAGGGATCCAAGGGATCCCAGGACTCTCAGGATCTGCACTCCAGCAGCATTCAGTGCCCTGGGAGATGATTTTCAGGCCCCAGGGTGCCACTGGGACACCTGGAGCTGGTTTGAGGAACTCCTTTGGAAGCCACCAGAGGCTGGGTGGGCTCAGACATCAAAGCTCCACAATCTCCATGGTTTATTCCTTGTTTCTCCAGGATGTGGATGCTGCCTACATGAACAAAGTGGAGCTGGAGGCCAAGGTGGATGCTCTGACAGATGAGATCAACTTCCTGAGGGCTTTCCACGAGGCGGTGAGGATCCTTCTGTCCTTCAGCGGGGGAGAACAGGGAATGCTGGCTGGGAAATGATCGTGGGGAAGGTGATGGATTCGTGGAGTCTTTCCTTCCATAAGCAAAACTGTGCCTGCAAGTGAAGTGATTCCTCTGAATTCTGTGGATTGTCACACGGATTTCTCCCTGTGTGGGATGTGGCATGGATGGATTGCAGACATTGTATTTGGGATGCTCTTTGTATGAAAACAAGGAAAACGAGTGGCTGGGGGAGGTGGTGCTGTGTGACAGGAATGAAGGAAAGCTGCTTGTTCCAGGCTCCTTCCTCCTCCCCATTGTTTGCAAGAGCAGGGATTACCTGAGCTGGACACAAATCCTTGAGAGAGGTGCTGGCATTTGGCCCCTGCAGGTTCTGCAGCTAGCTGGGTTGTTGTCTAAGGAATGGGATAACAGTGAAACAAGCAGCCCTGCTGCCAAAGTAGGGATAAACAGCTCCAGCTCTGCTGTTGGCTGTTGCTCTGTGCTTTGCAAGGTTGCTTCCCTCCTCATTAATAATTATTTTGATGGAATCCTTACCCGCCTCCCTCTCCCTTCTCTCCTTGGATTCTCTCTTCAATTGACTTCCAAAAGAGGGACCCTGAAGCCTCACTGATGAACTGGCTTGGTTTTCCTGCAGGAGCTGAACGAGCTGCAGGCCCAGATCTCGGACACCTCGGTGATTCTGTCCATGGACAACAGCCGGAACCTGGACCTGGACAGCATCATCGCCGAGGTGAAGGCGCAGTACGAGGAGATCGCCAACCGGAGCCGCGCCGAGGCCGAGTCCTGGTACCAGAGCAAGGTGAGCTCTGCCAGGGGAGGAGGACCCAGGGACTCCTTGGAGCCCTTCCAGTGCCCAAAGGGGCTCCAGCAGAGCTGGAGAGGGCCTGAAGTGACGGGACACAGGGAATGGCTTCCCTGTGCACAAAGGGCTGGGATGGGTGGGATATTGGGAAGGAATTCCTCCCTGTGAGGGTGGGGGGGCCCTGGAATGGATTTCCCAGGGAAGCTGTGGCTGCCCCATCCCTGGGAGTGTCCAAGGCCAGGTTGGATGGGGCTTGGAGTGCCCTGGCACAGTGGAAGGTGTCCCTGCCCATGGCACTGAATGGGCTTTAATGTCCCTTCCAAGCCAAACCATTCCATGATTCCATGATCTCCAGCTCTGTTAGCACCTGTATCCCCTGTGCCATGAGGGGGGGGGCTCTATCCTGCTCATTCCCTGCCATCCTCACCCCATCACTCTGTCCCACTGCTCTGTCCCAGTATGAGGCGCTGCAGGTGACAGCTGGGAAACACGGGGATGACCTGAGGAACACCAAGAATGAGATCACAGAGATCAACAGGGCCATCCAGAGGATCCAGGGCGAGATCGAGAATGCCAAGGCCCAGGTGAGGAGCTGCCCCTGTCCTGTCCGTCTCTGGCCTCAGAGCTGGGATGTGGCTCTGATCCCTCTGGACAGCATTGAGGGAGCGGCTGGAGCTGGGTCTGGGGAGGGTCACTTTGGACATTGGGAAAAGCTTCTTCCCCCAGAGGATGTCTGGCACTGAACAGGGGCTCCCCAGGGAATGGTCACAGCCCCAAGGCTGCCAGAGCTCCAGGAGCCTTTGGACAACACTCTCAAGTGTTGAATTTCAGGGTTAGTGGGATTTTTAGGGTTGTCATGTGCTGAGCCATGATGGTCCTTGTGGGTCCCTTCCAGCTCTGGACAGGAGGGAATGTTCACTCTCCCCTAACATTCTATGATGTTAGGGATGTTTTGGGGGTCTGGGTGTCACACAACCCCTTGAACTTGGTGATTTTGGAGATCTTTTCCAACCTTCACAACTCCATGGCCTGTAAGAACCATTCTGGGGGGCCTGCACTGCTCATCCTGAAGGATTTTAGTTCTGCAGGGGGAGGGAGAGCACTGGGAGCAGGGTGATCCTGCCAGGAAGGTTGGATTTGGGAGAGGATGAGTGGAAATCGCCCCTGGGACACAGAGGGGCCCCCACAAAACCCTCGTGGCCTCCTGTTCCTGGGATCATTGCCCACTCCCTTTCACAGCAGGGAACGCCATGTTTGGGCACACACACAGAGATTTGGGGAGCTCTGTTTGCTTTCACTGAGGTCTTATCGCTTTATCAGGGCCGTGGCTTAGGCCTGGCCTGGAGCTCCCAAGGCTCCAGATAAACCTGGTGATTCATCCCGGATTATTTGGTTTCAGGGCAGGGAGGCTCTGGCACCAGCCAAGAGCTGTTCTTGTGGGGCTCCCTTGGACAAAGGATGGGAGCACAAAGCCTCTAGGGAGCCCTTCATGCCAAATATGGGGGTTTGGGAGGTGTGGGGGCACAGCTGAGGGTTCCTGGTCTTGGGGTGGGTGTGGGTGTTTGGAGCACCAGGTGTGCTCCAGTCCTGCCCACGTCTCAGCCAGAGCCTGCCCAGCTCTGAAATAACTGGGGAACTTAGCAGAGAAAACCTGAGCTTTCCTGAACCCCAAGGGATCTGTGGGATGTGGGGGACTGGGAAGCTGAGGATCACCTGAAAAAAGTGTAGCCAGAGAGAAACTTGGTCTTCTTCTGGGAGACCTTGGAAGGAGATGAGTTTCCATCCCCATCCATCTCCAAGAAACCAGGTAGGGATGAAGTCCCAGGGATCCAATTGAGCTCCAGATCAACAAAGGGGTCTGGGCAGCAGAGCCCGAGGTTTGGGGCCCAGGATCCTCCCCCAGGGATCAGGAGCCCCCTGATGTGGCCGCTCTGTCCCTGCAGCGAGCCAAGCTGGAGGCGGCCGTGGCCGAGGCTGAGGAGCGCGGGGAGATGGCCCTCAAGGACGCCAGGGCCAAGCTGGCCGAGCTGGAGGATGCCCTGCAGAAAGCCAAGGCTGACATGGCCCGGCAGCTCCGCGAGTACCAGGAGCTCATGAACGTCAAGCTGGCCCTGGACATCGAGATTGCGACCTACAGGAAGCTGCTGGAGGGCGAGGAGAGCAGGTGAGGACACCTGGGGGGATTGGCGAGCAAAGATTCCCTGGGTTCCCTCTGGGAAGGGTCCTGGGAGCCCTTTGCTCCCTTTGCCTGGGAACACTGTGAGAGCCCAATTCTGATTTCCACAAGGAAATGTAGACAGGGAAACCTTTGAAAAACTGAGTTCTGGTCCTGGAAATGCTTTGGCTGAAGAGCCAAACTGGCAGATTCTGGGGGAGAAAATAACCTGGGGAAAATAAGCGAAGAATGAAAAAATTAGTTTCCATCATGTTTGATGCTGTGGCAGAACATTTCCAAGAGGAAATCCCTATGGGATTAGGACAGAACCTCTGTGCTCTGTCCTCCCCCCAATGGTCATAACAGAGCTGGGAAAGGCAGGGCTGGAACAAAGCCATGCAGGGCCCAGGGATCCTCCCTGGATCAGGTACAGCTGGAGCAGTAACTCCCTGCCTCTGTCCTCCTCCTCCTCGAGCCCAGGGCCAAGGAAAGCTGAGTTTAATCCCTCCCCTTGCCTTTGTCTTTTCAGGTTGGCCGGCGATGGAGTTGGCAATGTCAACATCTGTGAGTGGATTTTGTTGTTTGTTGCGGTTCCACCTCACTCTAAACCCTTGGAAAAGGGGGCCCAGAGTGTCCCAGTTCACCCAGTTCAGCCCCTCCTTAGTGGGAGCACCCTGAGGCTGGGGGTGGTGCTGGGGCTCCATCCCGAGCTCAGCTCCAACTCACCTGGATGAAATTGGACTTGGAAAACTTCCCAAGCTGGAAAAACGCCCTCTGCCATCACCTGTGCAGCAATTCCCAACCCAGGGAATGCATTTCCTATTAGAGCTTTTCTATCTATACAAAAATGGGAGGAAAGGAAGATCACTGCTGCCCCAAGTCCAATTGGATCCTCACCTGACCCGGACCTTGGGCAGGAGCTGCTCTCTCAGGGATGCTCCAAACCAGTGGCTCTGATTTTCAGCCACTTAATTCCTGCTGGGAATTGGGGAACCACATTCCCACAGCCTTGGGGCACCGGGAGATGAGCTGAGTGTGTTTGTGAAATGGGATTCTCCATGGATTTTCTAGGGGTTCCCCATGAGTTCTCCAAGCTCAGGGAATCCTAAGTCATGTTGGGTGATGGAGTGACAGGACAAGAAGGAAGGACTTCAAACTGAAAAAGGGGAGGTTTAGATGGGATATTGGGAAGGGAATAGATGGGATTTAGATGGGAACATTGGGATATTCCCCACCTGTGAGAGTGGGCAGGGCCTGGAATGAATTTCCAAGAAGATGCCCCATCCCTGGCAGTGTCCAAGGCCAGGCTGGACAGGGCTTGGAGCAGCCTGGGACAGTGGGAGGTGTCCCTGCCATGGCAGGAGGGGCACTGGGTGGGGTTTAATGTTCTTCCCACCCAATGGATCCCATGGGGGCTGGGGGTTCCAGGTGCTCACGCTGCTCCTCTCCCCGCAGCCGTGGTCAGCTCCAGCGGTGGCGGTGGATATTCCAGCTCCAGCGGGCTCCTGGCAGCAGGGATCGGAGGCCTCAGCCTGGGATCAGGAATGGGCAGCGGAGCCCTCGGCTTCTCCTCCGGGGGCTCCTCCAAGTCCTACACCATCACCACCACCTCGTCCACCCGGAGAAGCGTCAGGAAGTAACTCCAAGAATGGAGCTCGGCATTCCCAGCACCTGAGGGAAACCGTGGAAAGAAAAGCCTTGGAGCCTTTTGCAGGACGAATTGGCTGCAAAACGCCTGCAGTGCTGAGGCCCAGCCCATGCCCTGCCGGGGCTTGATCCTGCACCCTTGGAGTTCAGCCATTCCTCTGGGAGCAGGATCAAGCCTGAGGGGTGAAATTTACCCCGGGATGCAGGTGGGGTATCTCTGCTGTTACCCTTGTGCTTGGTACCCCCTGCTCCGAGCTGGGTTTCACCCTTGGAAAGCCAAATCCCACATTTCTGCTGTGCTTCTGCAAAACACCAGAAGATTCTAAATCCCTTCTAACAGGATTTGGAAGAGTCCAATCCCTCAGGCTCCTCGGCCCCTGCTGAGGGCTCACCCTGGGTTGGGTTTTTTAAATATACCAGGAAGAAAACAGGCTTTGGTCTCCCCTTATTTTCTTTGGAAATGGGCTCAGGGTTGGGGTTCAACATTCTCCTGTGACTGAAGCTGTTTCTGACCAAAGGCAGCACTGACAAATTGATTTCAGGCTCCTTGTAGCAAAATAACTCCTCAAGAACCTCCTAAACCCTTTCCGTCTCTTTAAATGAAGCCCTGAGCTTGAGGGATCTAAAGCTACTTCAAATTCCATGGGTCCCACTGAATTGGGAGAAAAATTCCCTATTTTTGGGTATGTCTGTTTACCACTCCCTATTTAAGGGTATTTAGTGATATCTGGAGTCTTCTGCAGTGAGGGTTCAGTTGATGCCCCATTCCAAAAACTCCTTGTTCCTGCCAAAATGGGTCTTCAACACACCAGGGAAATTGTTGTTACTGCAGTAGGAAGAATTTTTAGGGACCTAACTCCAAGGACCTGCTCCCAGTTTTTGTGCTGATGTTCAGCCCTGCCCTGGCATTGGGGTTTGGGTTGGATTTTTATGCTTTTTATGTCTTTCATGAGTCGTTTATTAAAGTTTCCCTTTTAGCTGCATGTCCAGTCTCAGCCAAGTTCTTTGTGCTGCCCTGGGTGCTCAGGAGCTCTGGGAAACATGCAGGAATCACCTTCCAGCCAGATCTGGAGCCTGCCCTGGCTCTGGGGGCAGGGATTGAGGTCTGCTGCCTGCACAGCTCAGTCCTGGCTGGATTTTGCCAGTCTGGAGTCTGGGCAGAGGGATGGGGGAACTTTGTTGAGAGTCCTGGTGTGAGCTCAGGACTGACATGGAATCTGGTTTTAATGGGAGGGACGAGTGGGATTTTAGCCCTTCTTCCTCCTGGATTACAAGTTGCTCCAGTATCGGGAAAGGTGGCTTTGGAATTCCCAGGAGCAGCAAATCTGCCCTCCCTGCAGCAATTCCCACTCATGGCTGTGCTCACGGGGCCCATTGTGTTCCCAACTTCTCACTTGGTCCTCGGTGCTCACAATTTCTCACCTGGCCCTGGTGATCCTGATTTCTCCCTCCAGTCTCTGGACCATCTGTGCCAGCCCAGCTGTCCCGGTTTGCTGCCTGCAGTGACTCTCATCTCCTCCAAATAAAACCACAGCCATGGAATGGTTTGGGTTGGAAGCCTGTCCAATCCCACCCCTGCCATGGCAGGGACGCCTCCCACTGTCCCAGGTGCTCCAAGCCCTGTCCAGCCCGGCCTTGGGCGCTGCCAGGGATCGAGGAGCAGCCACAGCTGCTCTGGGAAATCCATTCCAGGGCCTGCCCACCCTCACAGGAAGGAATTTCATCCCAATATCCCATCCTATCCCTCTACTTAAGGCTGTTCCATATCCCATAGACAGCTCAAAAGGTGTTGTTGCACATCCCCAAACACATCTTGAGTTACACCAGAGCAGATCAGGGAGTGGGGGGTGTTTCTGTGCGGTTGAAGTTGGCCTGAAGAGAGCTGGGCCCCACCCCACCCTTTCCAGGTGCTCTCACTTTGCTTTCCTGCCAGGCCTGGGCTCGTGCCCAGCTCCTGCAGACAATGTCCCTGTGCCAGGCCCTGATGCCCACAATGGCTCCATCCAGGTGTGGATTTGGGCTGCTGACCCTCACAGAAGTGTCTGGGACTGCAGCCAGTGGAGCTCTGGTGTGGACAGGGGCTGTGCCTGCTGTGCTGCCAGTCCAGCCCCAGACTGGTGCCACCCTCGATGTCCAGCTGGGTCCCCTTTGTGGTGACCCTTTCACAGTGAAACACCATGAGCCCTGGGCCACACCCTGCTCCCCCGGCATAACCAGCTTCTGAATCCAGCTGGGAAATGAGGATTACTGCTGGAACCCTGAGGAAAACCTCTCACCTCTCTGTAGAATGTCCTCAGGAATTGGGAAACTCTGCCGGGTGTGCCAAGAGCAGGAACATATCCCACTGCCAGGGCATCAGCACCTTGCCATGGGATACCTGAGAAAAAACCCACAGGGATCATCCAGTCCAACCCCTGGTGAAGGGTTTGGGAAAGCTGCAAAAGGCAGGCTCAGAGACAGCAGAACTGTGATTAGAGCTGAGCAATAGCCATGAGATAGGTCAGCAGAAAAGTTATGTAAAAAGTAGAAAAGTAAGGACAAATAGAACAATGGTCTGTGTATTAATGCTTGGCTAGAATAACTCCCCAAGCTACAGAAAAGAATATCTAGCAAGATATTAGGAAGTTTTAAGCTTAATAATGGAGCTCTGTGCACTGTGTTTTAATGCTCACAAGCAGGTATTGTATTTGAAGTAAGCAAGCATTGTTTTAACCACAGGTACATGTGCTTATAGTGGTTGGATAGAACTACTGTCAATATGCTTTTGCTTTGTGTGATTGGTCAAAAACCTTTTAAAGTGAGTTGTAACATTGAGTTCATTGCTGGGGATGTGAGCTGCTGGCAGCTTCCTATTGCCATCACCATGTAATGACACTGATGCTGGAAAATACAACAGCTTGAGACGTGTTCCTCAGCAATCCTGTCCTGTTCGTGATTTTTACAGAGATCCCAGCCAGCGATACCCTGGCCCTGCGCAGGCTCCTCAAAATCCCACCTCGTGCCCAAAAGCATTGTCCGAACATTCCTGGAGTTCTGGCAGCCTTGGGGCCGTGACCATTCCCTGGGGAGCCTGTTCAGAGCCCCAGCACCCTCTGGGGAAGAGCTTTTCCTGATATCCAGCTTGATACCCACCATCTTCTTTCAGCCCTTCCACCTTGGCTTCCAGCTTGGCTTTGGCCAGGAGAACTCTCTCCGTGTTCTGGCGATGCTTTGGGGCTGGAAAGAGGAATTTGAGGAGGGGGAGCAAACTCGGGGCTGCCCTCAGGGTCGGTGCCATGCCCGTGCTCTGGCTCCTGGGATCTGGGGTCTGACTGGAGCTTGAACAAACCCAGCTTCTGCTTGTACTTGTTTCCTGTGCTGCCTTGGGGAAAGAAGCCACCACAACCACCCAAAAACCCAAACCAGGTGGGGAAAGTTCAGCTGGTGAGTCCCTTGCTCACCTTCCTTAGGACAAGTAGCTCCTCCTGGGCATGTGTCTGCAAGCCCTGCTCATCCCTGGACCTGTGTGGGAAAATGGGAGGTTTTGCTGGAGTTCAGCACAATTCCCCCATTCTTTGAGTTCCTTCAGGCCACAAGTGAAGCAAATGAAACTCTGATTTCTTTCCCTCTCCCCAGACAGTGTTTTGGGATACCTTACACTTGTTTTGTAGCCCGTGGGAAAACAAATGTGTTTTCAGAGAGGTTTCTGCTGCAGAACTGCTTTTGTGTGACCTTAAATAGCTGCTGAATGCTTGGAAATCTGAATTTCTGAGTCAGGAAGGAGGGAAAGAAAATGTGGAAGAGGGATATTCTGCTTCGTCCATGTGTCTGTAAATGTGGATGTCACTTTCTGTACTGAGATCTTTCCATCCTCTTCCCCTCCACCATGGGGATCTACTGGAGGTGAATCTGTTTAATCTTCACCTACGAGTTTTCTGGGAACCATTTGCTACCCCAAAAAGTCCAGTGTTTCTGTCTGTTCACTAATTTCAAGCAACATTTTGAGCTCTGAAGTTGCATTTCTTTGGTTTTTACTCACATTTTCCTGTTGGTTTCCCAATCCTGCTTTGCTGCTCTCAGGCCTGTTTGTAACTGGGCTCTGCTGCTGCTGAAGGCTCCCAGTTTCTCTCTCAAATTCCAGATAAATGCCCTGAGCACGGCCTTGATGCTGCTCTGTCATTCTGCAGGAAGCTCCACTCGGTCTCCAGCACCTTCTCCTGCTGCTCCAGGATCCAAACCCGAATGCCAGAAAGGAAAATGGGATGAGGATTGTGACGATGGTGGTGAAGGGTCTGGAGGGCCCCCATGAGGAGCAGCTGAGGTCATTTGGTTGGTCTGGCTGGGGAAAATGAAACTGAGGTGAGACTCCTCAGGGGCTGCAGCTTCATCCTGAGGGACAGCTCCAATCTCTGCTCTGGGGACCAGGGACAGGGCCCTGGGAATGGCTGGAGCTGTGCCAGGGGAGGGTCAAGCTGGATATCAGGAAAAGCTCTTCCCCAGAGGGTGCTGGGGCACTGAACAGGCTCCCCAGGGAATGGTCACAGCCCCAAGGCTGCCAGAGCTCCAGGAATGTTCGGACAATGCCCTTGGGCACGGGGTGGGATTTTGAGGAGCCTGTGCAGTGCCAGGGGTTGGACTGGATGATCTCTGTGGGTTTTTTCCCAGGTATCCCATGGCAAAGTGCTGGTGGCCTGGCAGTGGGATGTGTTCCTGCTCTTGGCACACCCGGCAGAGTTTCCCAATCCAGCAGCTTTTGTTTGGGGGCACCCGTGTGGAAATGCACAAAAAAGCAAAGGCATTCTCAAAACCAGCTCTGCAACAAAAGTGGGCTGTGCAGAGAGGGCTGAGAGGGGACTGGAGGGCAGCTGGAGCTGGTTTTAGCTTGTTCCCTGCCCCAGTCAGGCCCAGAGGTCAGAGCAGCAGTACCTGGGCACTGAGGCCTCATATATCCCCAGATTGTCCCCTGACAGCTTGTGCAAGTTCCCTTGATGTCTCTTATGAGTTGTCCTGACAGGATTCTGTGCCCTTTCCGTGCCCTTTCCATGCCCTGTCCATGGCCAACACCTCCCTTGGGCTCCAGACCCTGGGAACTGGAGCTGGGGGAGGTTCTCAGCTCACCTGGTCAGTGAGTGAAGCAAATTCCTTGTTGAGGGTCTTGAGCTGCTCCTTCTCCTGGCACTTCACCATCTGCACACTGGGATGGAGCTCTGGGCAGAGCAGCAGCTCTGGGGTGGTGATGGGGGTGATGGTGATGAGGGTGATGGTGATGAGGGTGATGGTGATGGGAGTGGTGGTGCA